AGTCTTCATCAATGCCCAATGGTACATCAAAACACTTTATAAGCAGCATAAAGCAAAAAAATCCAGGTATGCTGTCGCCAGGTGTCATCATTCTGTGTGTGTGCCAAGGCCCTGACCCGTAAAAAGTGGGGAATCCAAAATCATCTCACTTGCAATCCAGATCTGTCGCCTTGCGACTATAACATATTTAGAACCACTGAAGAAAGGTCTGATATAACAAAGCTTTTACTTCGACAATGACGAAAACAGTTCAGAACTGGTTCAACGATCAATCGACATCTTTCTTCATGAACGGAATTCATAAATTTCCTTAGCAATGAGTGAGTGAATGAATATTAATGTCACACTGTTAAGATACACGACGGCATTTGGAGGCGGAAAACATAATTTTGAACCATGGTCAATTGACGTGGACAACACCTGAGTTAGCATCCCTCTCTTCTAACTAACACACCACACCAATGGAAGGACGTTTCAGCTCTCTACAGATTTAACGTGCATCGCTGCCCTACACGGCGGGTCTTTAGTGGTACTTGGTTCGAACTCATACCTTGACCACTTTGTATGCGTTCCCTTCATTAAGACTATTGTTTTTATTTATGTATCTGACTCAATTCTATCCCTACGTATCTCGTGGATACACAAATCAAATCACTTTCATTTGAACACCCCTCACACATACACATATATATAATATAAATAGTTGTGACAAAAAATTCCGAACAGATTAAAATTGTCACCTAGTTATTATGTTTGGCTTAACACATTTCACCATAAAATTATCGTGGTATCTTAACTATTAGTATTCATGAAGATTTCAAATCTGTTTTCAGAATTTATGTTAAGTCACTATCCAATTCCCAATATTAGTTCACACTCTGTATATATTTATTTGTTTAACTTCGTGGAATTTTCAATCGTTACTAAAATACATTTTAAAGTGCTCAATTGAGCTGAAATTTTATATAAATATTTTTTTTGGATGACAATAGAGTAATTTAATTATAATTAATAAAAATTAATTGATTAAAAATTATTATTCAAAGAATTACAAATACAGCAAAGTTGGCATCGTTTTCGGCGACTTGTGTCAAAACACGAAAAGGTTTTTTTACTCACATTTTAAAACGCTCGTTTGAGCTGCAATTTTCTATACATTATTGTTTTGGGTAAAAATATGATAATTTAATTATAATTAATTAAATTAATTGACTGAAACTAATTATTTAAGAATTACAGATACAGCCACGTTGGTTTCCTTTCTAGTGACTTGGGTCAAAACTTTAAAAGATTTTTTTCTCGCGTTTTAATGCATTCAGTTGAAGTGAAATTTTATATACACGATTGTTTTTGATGGCAATACGATACTGTAATGATAATTAATAAAAATTAATGTCCACTTAATGTTGTCTGTCATATGTATATACATATTTATATTAATTGTAACTTTTTAAGAAAAAGTAGCTAAAATAAAAAATTTCTTTGCTGATCTAAGTAGGAATTGACTTAAATTTTTTTATATTCCTTGTTTTACTCAATGTTTAGAAAAACATGGTGATAAGAAAATCTCAAACGAAATCTAACGACATGTTATTTTTTTTCAACCAATTATTATTCCATTAATCCAACCAATTAGATGTTAGTAGACGAGAAAGTGTTGAAATCAGAGTGCGCAACATGTTTTATTCATTTGAAAATAAATGTCTATTGTAATATGAAGTCAATGGGTGGATAATATTGGAATAATGGGTAAATTTTACTTTCTGCATTAAAATGAAAGATGGAATTTCTAAATGCAGTTTATTTTTAATTGCATCTTAATATAGTAGAAAAGTTTGAGAAATATCTTTCTTAACTAGTAATGACGAATTTTATAACACTTTTAAAACAATGTGTATTGGTATTTAAAGTCCAATGTACATGCAAAAAGGAACATTTAGAAGACGAATTGCTTAAAAAATGAGTACTTCAAGCAACTGAACTCTTCATAAAACTTTTGAATTCTATTTCAAATTCATTTCCTTTTTCTGTTTTACCTCTCTATATGATCATGATGCTTATTTACCTGAAAAAAAAATTACTAATCAACATATTCTATGCAGATACTCTGAGAAATAAGAAAAAAAATACATACTTTTGATAGTGTTTTCTTTTTGCTGCATTGCGTTATTTATTTTTTCTAATTTTCCTACTTAAATTACATATAAGTAATGAAACATTTGTATACCGTTTTCTTCCTGCAGAATAAAACGATTAAACCAACAAAAATTTTGAGGCAAAGAACATTTACTGACTCATTTCTGGGATAATACTTTCGATAAAATTATCGAGTTCCTAAAAACATTATGATAGAAATTAAATTGAGTTTTAAGTAAGAATCAAAATGTTGAAAATATAGATAGTCAATTAGTACTCCAAAAAGTGCAAGATGGATTTATGGGCAACATCAAAGGGTTTATGAAATGATACATTTTTGCATAAGCCCTCCGTTAGGCACGCGAAACTCTCAGATGCATACTAAAAATAGTTTTGGTGCTGCGTCCATATAGTGGGTTGGAACACTCCCCTTCTTCTTCTATCTGACTTTTGTCACTCACTCTAGGATTCAGTGTCAAGGAAGAAGGTAATTTCTGCGTATTTTTGTTGCAGGGGGTCATTGAATCTGATAGATGCAGATGGTCCAACAATGTCAGCTTCTTTCACTTTGCCCTATTTCGTTAATTTGGATTCTTTCTTCTAGAATAGTGTATGTTTCAGTTTTATGCGCAAATAATTCGAAGCAAGTATTTTGTAACTTCTGTACGGTAGTTTTTTTTTTGCTTAAGTTGAGATACATTTGAAGGATGCCGCACGCCTAGTCAATGACTATATTTAATTCAAACCTCAATGTAACGTGAATAAACTCCAAAATTACTAATACGGCAATCAAAATCACTCAGATGCTCATGCACATACCTAACAAAACTAGGTGAAGAACTTTTGAAAGAGAACATGAGAAAACAGTTTGAGTGTAACATTCACATGCTACTTTCATTTTGACTCGGGATTGAAGAAATTTCTTATATACGACGCCCCATTTAAGACAAAGAACCAAGAACAAACCTCACGAGGAACTTGGAAAAAAAAGATACTGTTCCCTCTGGTCAGACATCTAGAAAATATTAAAATTATGTAATGTATTACACGAAAAGTCCATGGTCCTTGAACATTGTAGGGTGAATTGTGAAGACTTGCAACAAGGCATCTTAAAATGTAAATCGTGGTGACAGTGTGATAACTAACCATTACATCTCTATGATGTTTTTTTTTCGTTTAAATATATCTGTTTCTTATTCTATATAAATATCATTTTATGTTAAATATATTTTAATGTCAAATCTCATCAATAAAATGATTAAACAATCTTCAAACGCTAGTATGAGGTGATGCATCTGGAATATGCCACGCCTATGTATGAGCTCTTTGAAGCACTTAACGGTATATATATATATCGTAGTAGGTTGTATTCTTGAGTTCAGGATTTTATTTTACAAGTGAGAGATTTTCCTAATATCTTTAATACAATTTTTTTCTACTATTCATCTCTTGAGAGATTCATTATTGTTCTCTTTTCTCAATTTCTGTTTACGATTTTATTAGGTTCTTCATCCACGTGTTGTATTAGGCTTAACTTTTCAACTTGGCTTTTTTTATTTCCCTATTATTTCGAAAATTTCTGCTGTACGTGGGATGTTGGATCCACAAAGCATTGCTTAACCCTAATTCACTGGCCTAATTCAGTCACAGCTATAGAAATCATAGCAGGTTTCCAGTTTAGTCCATTGACTTTTTGTATCCACATTTGTTGTGTCTGCTGAATTCCAATTTCTTACTTCTTTATCATTGTAGGTTCTAGTACTTCTTCTTTTTTAATTTATTATACTATATATATATATATATATATATATATAGTTAGAATTTCATTTAAATTCATATTAGCTACATCTTAAAATTAACTGTGTGAGTTTAATCCATTATTTAAAATTCTTGAGATAATTTTATAAAATTAAAAATTTTACTAACTTTTCTAATTCGCAGTTTTTCTTTTAATAATTATTTTAAATAAATAAATTGCTGCAATAGTCATGGGAAATTTCTAATACTTTTGTTATTATTTATTGTTGCGAGATTATGTAGTGCGACTACAGAATTCTATGCATGCATACCGTAGATAACGCATAAAACAAATTACTTAATGACAAAATTTTTTATTGGAAAAGTTATTAAAGAAAAAAGCATTTTATTTCATTCACTAAGTACCAACATATTTTATCACAGTTTTACCAGACGTACCTTGCACATAATAAACAAAAGATATAAATTTGTTAATTATCGCACTATTGATTTAATGATGTCATTTCAATAAATTTAAATTATTTCTAGCATAGAATTTAATTAAAGAATCGCTAATTTCCTAGATTATAAAAAATCTAAACAAATCTATTTATATCTTTCTGTTCCATATTGTATTTAATGCATTTTGCAATTTTTCATTCATACGAACTATGAGAATTCTGTTGTTTTATAAGGGTATAGGATATAAAACGTATAAATAACATATGCATTATTCAATAATCTTATTTTTCCAGCAAATAAAATAGATAATTATTTTGCTTATTTATATAGTAACAAAGCTGTTGGGTAAAATAAGTAGCGTTCCGTGTTTCATATTGTGTAAATATACAACAAATTTTTAGAAACAAGTAATATTAAAAAACATTTAAGTCCATTTCTACTTAGGTCAATAATGAAAAATTTTATTTTAGTTACTTTTTATTAAAAAGTTACAATTAATGTAAATCTGTATATACAAATGACAGAACCACATTATTAAGTGACAAAATGTAAAGCAATTTTCCTTTCTAAGATATGGTGTTGCCTTTTTTTTTCTATCTTAATATTTATTCATTAATTAAATTTAATTATTCTGATGAAAAAAATCACATTCTCAGAAATAAGCCTATCCTAGGTGGGATTCGAACCCAGGAACTTTGAATTAGATGTCCAACGTGCTGTCCATTGCGCTACAAGGACATAAAGAATGATATTTCTTTCTATATATACTGTTGGATTATTTGTGTTGGTTTTACTATTTATTTTTATTTTAATTTAATTAATGAATTTATATTTGGAAAACTATATATAAACAACAAGTGTCATCCACTACTAGTTTAAAAAATTGTATTTCAACTTGAATGGATGAATAGAAACAATTTTATCAACGACTGAAAATTTGAACAAGATGTATGTATGTATATATATATATATATATATAAGGAGAGAGTGAACTAGTAGTATGAATTGAATAAGTATTGAAAAAGTTTCTTTTGATTAAAAATGATCACCTAACTGCGAAGAAAGAGATGCTTCAATTGAATAAATTAAGAAAATTTTATTGAAATTTTATTAAAAATGTATTTAATTTCCTAACAACTATAAAATAAGAACTATATTTTCTTAAGTCTGATACTATGGAAACTTCTATTAGCATATTTAAAAATATCCTTATTGCAAAGCATTATATAGCGTGTTTTTTTAAAGGTATAGAACTTTAAATTGCAATAAAACAACGATGTATTATTCGATTGACATGAATTTTTTTATTCGAAAGATAATCTTGTGGCATTTCATTTTAAATAAGATTTCTGGAATATGAATCGGATGTAGTCCAATCTGGACTTCCAATTTTCGATGACTTTTTCCAACATTTGTGGCCGTATATCGGGAATAACACGGCGAATGTTGTCTTCCAAATGGTCAAGCGTTTGTGGCTTATCCGCATAGACCAATGACTTTACATAGCCCCACAGAAAATAGTCTAGCGGTGTTAAATCACAAGATCTTGGAGGCCAATTCACAGGTCCAAAACGTGAAATTAGGCGGTCACCAAACGTGTCTTTCAATAAATCGATTGTGGCACGAGCTGTGTGACATGTTGCGCCGTCTTGTTGGAACCACAGCTCCTGGACATCATGATTGTTCAATTCAGGAATGAAAAAGTTAGTAATCATGGCTCTATACCGATCACCATTGACTGTAACGTTGTGGCCTTCATCGTTTTTGAAGAAGTACGGACCAATGATTCCACCAGCCCATAAAGCGCACCAAACAGTCAGTTTTTCTGGATGTAACGGTGTTTCGACATACACTTGTGGATTAGCTTCACTCCAAATGCAGCAGTTTTGTTTGTTGACGTAGCCATTCAACCAGAAGTGCGCTTCATCGCTAAACAAAATTCGCTTATGAAAATCGGGAACAACAGCAATCTCGCTTTGGGCTTATTCGACGAATCTACGCCTTGCTTGATGATCGTTTTGATGAATTGCCAAACCAAACTGAGAATAAATCACTTGGCAGCTGTTAAATCGGTCGCCATCTTGGAAAGTAATGCCAACTTAAACTTCTATACCTGGAAAAAAACACCCTTTACATATAAATATAATTTAATATATAACTAATAAAATTCGTAAATATTCAATTAAAGTAATATCATAAAGTATAAAATTAAATCAAAAGTATCGGTAAGAATGAATTATCACTATTAAAAATACCGTTAATTATAGTGGATACTTTCGCAATGCAATGCCAGGAGCCATCTTTGTGAATTTCAAATATAACGCATCCGACTTAAATTAAATTTTTTAACACTTTATGTGTTAACTTGGTGAGTTATTTTCCTACGGTTTTCTGAGGGATATTTTTTTTCTTAAATTAAGAAAGAAAATGGGTATGAGTTATCATTAATAAAATTTGGTTTCTGAAATGTTAAAATCATATTGTGGAAATACTTGCATACTACTAATATTCGCTAAATAGGTTGTGTGATTAACATCGCATTTTGCAGCCACACGAGGTATATCTTTGTGCGGAGATCATAATGTTGGGCCTGACAACTGAGATTGCACTGTAATCTCAAAAATTCTACCCAATGCGAAAGCGAGAACTTTGAGGTTTGACGCATTTAAGGCTTGCCAGCTCGTGTACTTGCTGGGTCTTTTACTGTCCTTTAGAAATACATTGCACCTTTAAAATGAGCTACATATATTTACAGAACATGGAGCTGCATAAGACTCCACTCACTTCAGAAATAATTATCTAAATTGTAATTCATCCTAAATACATTTTTTTAAGTGAAAATTTTTTCCGCTCGAGAGTGATACAGAAAATTTCCCAGTTTCGCGTAACAGTGAAAAAGTGAACGGAAGTAGTCTCCCCCCCCCTCGAACCGTCGCCATGGTAAGGAGAGAGCCAGAAGAGGAAAAGGGAAGAGCGGGGACACCGCGTGACTTGCGTCATATGGGTGAAAAAGTTTGATAATTGCCCACGTCTCCGACTGGTGAACTCGCGCATGTTCTGATTAGGGGTCCTTTTCCCCTAGATCCGGGAACATTATCAGCGGTCTTATCAGTTGTAGTGTAAGCATTACGGTGTAGGCAAAATAGCTCTCGCAGCAAAAGCGTGCCTTTGGGAAATTTTCTTTAGATTGTTGGCTACACGGCGATGTGTTCGGTGGCTAATTTATTTCTTTAATTTTCATTTGCATTGAATTATTATTAATTCTAGTCAGAATGCATAAATCAAATGCACAAAGAGGAAAAGAGTTTTGTAAAAGAAAAAAAAAGAAAAACTAGCAGCAAGTCCAGTCGAAAAGTGACAAAAAAACAGAAAAATAGTGCGAATTCATCAAGTGCTACTGCCAAATCTTGATCAGAGTACATGAGAGAATATCAAGCACGGAAAAAAACATTGCAAAATACTCTCTTGATGCCGAGTTTAATGACATACAGAAAAATAGTGCAAATTCATCAAGTGCTACTGCCAAATCTTCATCAGAGTACACATAAGAGAACATCGAGCATGGGAAAAAACATTGCAAACTACTCTCTTGATGCCGAGTTTAATGACAAACAGAAAAATAGTGCAAATTCATCAAGTGCTACTGCCAAATCTCCATCAGAGTACACATGAGAGAACATCGAGCATAGAAAAAAAACATTGCAAAATACTCTCTTTATGCCGAGTTTAATGACAAACAGAAAAATAGTGCTAATTCATCAAGTGCTACTGCCATATCTACATCAGAGTACACATAAGAGAACATCGAGCATGAAAAAAAACATTGCAAAATACTCTCTTAATGACGAGTTTAAAGGATGGGAATGCTATTGAGGCTCTTCTTATGACAACACAGATTAATACGGACTTTGTGAACTACCCTGTGCCGTCAACTACAGAACCCTCAACAAGTCTAGTGTGTGTTGGAACTGATGCATGTGAATCGATAATAAATTCTATTTTACGTTACAAGGACTATGATTTTCATAAAAATGCGTGGCCATGGTAGCCTAGTGGTCAAAGTATCAGATCGAGGCTGGCGGGTCATGAGTTCGAGCCGAGTACAACTTAAGACCCGCCGTGTAGGGGAGCATTGCACGTTAAAACTGTTAAGAGCTCAAACGTCCTCCCGTTGGTGTGGTAGTTAGCAGAGGAGGATTGCCAGCTCAGGTGATGTTCTCGTCACTTGATCATGGATCAAAATTACGAAGTCCGTCGCCAAAAGCCCTCGTGTAGCTCAACAGTGCTCCATTAACCATTTAACTGGATACCTTCCTCCTGAAAAGTTATTCCGAAAGCGTTTAACACTTATTTTGCTATTCCCTTCAAAAATGCAACATACTTATTTCCTTTCCCCCTTTTAGAAATTGGGAGGTCGAACGGGGACAATTTTACGACCCAGTTCGGTCCCTTTGTAAAGTAAGAACCAAGAGATCAATCGTTTACAGCTAGCTGTTAAGTTGCCTTGGGCAATCTTCTTTGAAAGCGTAGTGGAATTCGGTGTTTCTTTCTCCTATATGTTCAGTCACAGTAAAATTAAAAACGAAATGAAAGGTAAAAAAAGAGGAAAAAAATGAAATAAATAGTATGTTAGAAGTTGAAAAATAATTATATTTTCTTCAAAGAAAATTTATTTTTCTGTCATTTTTTAAAAATTAATATATATATATATTTGGTATTGCGATTTGAACCAGAAAAAGCATCCTGTATTCATTTTTGAATATGAGAGTAAGAAAACGCGCTCACTTTCCCGTTTTTTAAAAAAATAATGAGGTAAAAAGAGCAAAGGCCCTATCTCATTTTTAAACAATAACACAATAAATATTACATACGATGATTATATTTATGAAATAAAACCGATCTTTCTCTATTCAGTTATATTTTTAATTTAAAATAGCATAAAAAAGGATTTCAATACTTTTAATTTATTTTAATTAAAATCATATAAAAGATATTTTTATGTTAACTGAATATTTTTCGGAAAAAATTTAAATTTTCCTTCCTAGTGTTCTCTTTTTGAACTTCTTGTATTAAATAAAAATTCCTTTTCTACATCGGCATTTGTGATGGATATAACACACATTCAGTCAATAATTTTTAATTTTAAAGGGGGATATACTTCTTCTCAAATGCGCATGACAGTACTTCTAACCATTTTCTACTCAAGTTAAATTTCTTATCTTTCTGTTTCTTTTATTACAAGGAAAAATGTCACACATCGATAACTACATTTTCACACAATTCAGTCATTACAAATTCTATTGTGAGAAAAGTTCTCCCTATAATTAATCTTGTCTTTCAAAACAGTACACATAAAACAATTTTGTTCAGTGAAGTTAACCGACTGTTCCACAATGTATTCATATCAAATTTAAAAAACAAATTTAACACTTGAAAATGTATCCTGTATTAAATTTTTCAGTATACACAAATATTTCCTGCTGTAGGAAAGATATAGTATGAGATGTGGTGTGCGGTTGTGAAAGAATGTTTTCGTACGTGTAGACTATTTTTGAAAATTTAAATATCACTGAAGCTGATCATATAACTGCAAATGAGCCTTATTTTAGTGTGTGCTGGTATCAAAGTAAAACACTTTACAATATTAAACAGCCTATGGGTTTATACTCAACATCAAACTATTCGCAAAATGGCTTACAACTTCTATTCAAATTGTAAAGAAACTGAAATATAAATAT